TGTCTCTCGTTTTCCCCGGCATCATTCCTCTCCCTTCTTTGTCGCTCTTTCCACGTCTTCGTCCTTCCGCTTCCACTTTCTTTTATGCTGTGGCTTGTATCCGAGGGAAATCCTAATATAATATTTAAATCAGTTTTATTGTTGTTCAATGAACGGCGCCGTGACAGCCGACGGAATTCCCCGTACTTCCATTGAGCGGTTTGGCTAATGAAAATCTCGAGCTGAGCCTGCAAAGAAGGCATTTTAGGAATGGTAGCTGAGGTGTGCGGAAATGGAATGAGACGGTGAACGACGATCCAGTAAGCAGCAGATGGAAGTGTGCACTGTGGCATATGCTTCTTGAACGATATCAGTGCATGTAGATGTCCGGAACGTTGCGGTGTTCGTTTTGTTACACTTTGTCTCCCTCTCTCAACAGTATTGCTCGGCCGAATCAGGGATGGAGATCGTGAACGATAGCAGGAGCCGGCACTGAACTTTGGCGCTTTGCATCCTACACTTGCTGCAGTTAAAAGCAATTTGTACACGACAGAAGCATGGAACAGGGCGCGATAATTGAATTACTAAATTCGGAGCAGTGGAACCATGTAGAACAATCTACTGTAGATTGAATAAGTGAAGGTTACTTTACATGATGATCCAGGACAGGAATTGATACGTCTATTTCAACCGCTCTCTTACCTCTCCATTCTTTTCACTGGCGTTTTGTTCAGGTGACGCATAGTACAAGTAATTTCAGTACAACTCTTCTTGATTTTCACAAAAATTTTGTTAGATTTTAAGATATAGACGGATAGGCCGTTTATTCGACCAAGAGCGTGTTGCGAGATTTCTGGCTCATAATAATTGCTTTCGGACTGCAATCTTCCAGAACGGAGGCTTATTGCTAGGTTAGCTTTTATTTACTAATTTTTCAGCGAAGGAAGCATAGCCGTTCTCATTGCACTTCATTTTCATTATCGCTCGAGGGCCGGCCAAGCCTTTCACTGGCCCGCCTTTATGAACCTGGTAGCAGTGCATTTCCCATTTGGATGACACAGTTCTCACTAGGAGCAGTGCCGACGGACGAACGCACTTCTCCAACAAGTTTTATGCATGAACAACCAAGCCCGACGGACAGTGCGCTGCAAACAGCCATAGTGTACACTACTGACATATTCAGCGTACACAGGCCAACAGACATAGGAGACTCGAAAAATCCAGAGTTTCATGTGGGCCGGGTGTGCATAGCAGTCTTTAGCCGATAACTGCATTTCAAGGACTTGCCTGCTTGCATACGGCGGTCAGTTTAACCAGTAATGTCACCGGTATATTA